AACCATGACATCAAATGTGAGAGTTTTTGGTCATAGCTTAGGTCTCCACCTACAGCTCCCTCCACTAAAGGAGGCGATTGGTTTACTGCTCCATGGAGACACCCTGTGGAGTTACTAGAAAAAGCTAAGCTAGGCTGAGTTGAGTTGAGGTGTGTAAGAGTTGAAGAATCTCCCTGTTTTAACATCGGAACTAACAGTGGGAGATAAGACATCCTTTTGCTCTGAAACCTGATCTGCTTAACCCAAGATGTGTGGCAAGTACTTTAACCCTTTAAACGTCTCTCTGTTATCTCTTTGCTGTGTTATTGTTCTCTGTATATTTTATATATATATATATATATATATATATTGGCTACATCTTTTACTGTAAATCTTTTTATTGCACCCTTTTGACCCTTTAGTAATAAATCTTATTTCTGAAAGTGTTGAACTGTTTCTGAAGCTCTTTAATGCAAATTACGAATTCCTGCCGCTGAAGAGTGCTACTGTGTGTTTGTTTAACCCTCTGTATAACATGCCTGCGGTGACAGTGGTATACAGAAGATTATCCAACCATCATAGTGTTATTGCTAATATTGCCAATTTTCCTCTTTCTCTGTACAAAAAGAAGGTGGTGGCAGTGTGAAGGGTTAATTGCATAATTAACCTGACCCAGTAGCATCTGTTTGTAGGCTGCAAGTACACAGGTTGTGGTCCATTAGCTGTAAAATCTGTGTGCAGGGTGCAGCTGGGCGTGGCATTGTTACGCACTTGACAGCGCAGTTTTAGATTGGCTAGCCCTTCGGTCACAAGTTTGGTGAGAAGGGCTGGGGTCTGACGCCGCGATTGTCACAATGAGGCCTAAAATTAACACACCTGTGATGATGTCACTGCTGGGCACAAATTATGGTCTACTTGTGAAGCCTATGGACACAGCTGCGCATCTATGGCCAGTCTTTTTCTAGGCTTTAGCATTAGAATTTCCTTGCACAGATCAATAATTATCTTAAATGCAGACCATTCATGGCATAGACTGCATGAAAAGATCATGTAGTCCAATTACACTGTTCAACAAATTTTTATTTTTTGCCAGTTTTGGAAACAAAAGGATCCATTTCTTAATGAATTTCACATTCTGAGTTCAAATATAACAATGAATTTTGTCAATTGGCTCTAGTTTTTTCTGTAAACGGAAAGTTTTCTACTATAGGCGTAATGACTACATAATGCACAATAATTATATAGATAGATGTCTTTCCACAAATATATAAAGCAAGTGATATTGACTACATAACAAAGCCTAAATGGCATAATATATTGCATAGGATTACCAAGAAAAATTATAGTCATAAGCTAAGTTGAATCATTTTAATACTTAGGATTCTCACTAGTTTTGTCTTCAGTTTGTGTCGGTTTTGCTTCTCTTGGCTTTTCTCTTGTATTCGAGGAACTTACAACTGCACGTGACTACACGCTTCAGGTTCTTCCTCACTTGACTCAACCACGACGGATTCTGGTGCTTTAGGAATTGGTAGCCCCTCTCCCTGAGGAACTGGACGTATTGCCGATGGAATATTTGGATAGTGCACAGATAACTTTTTCTTCTTATTTAGCCCTTTTACAATTGGAGGCACCATACAAAAGTAACAATTACTAACATGATCTGTTGGCTCTCTCCAAATCATTGGCACAGCGAAAGGCATAGATGCCTTTTTTCCATTCAACCATTGCTCCAGTGCTGTCCCACAAGAATTGCAGCATATATGTGGGTGCCCAGCTCTTGTCCTGGTCTCCTATCTTGCAGCCAAAATACAAGTTGTAGGCTTTCTTAATCATTCCTGTTATCCTCCTTTTTTGTGAGATAAAAGTTATTTCACCGCAGATATAGCAGAAATTATCTGCTTTATTCACACAAGTTCGAGGCATTACTGAGTAGCCTATATAAGCATAAAACGAAATGTAAAGACGCTGTCGAACTACAATCAGCTACAGATACTGCAGCTTTTATGCAGTGAAGTGATGCAATTAAAGGCTAATATTGCATCATCTCAGTATACATGCAATTTTCTATTGGTCACCAGTATCAATTGCGCAATATGCAGCTGAAGTTGCATCATAATTTTGAATGGCTTACGTCATTAGATGGGTGAATATATCATGGAAACTAGAGCCAATCAACATTTTTAGGGCCATTTTCAGCACCCCAAAATTATGTAAGATTAGCTAATTTTATGCCCAAAACTTTTTACCTGTTGAACAGTGTTATAGACAACAAACTACATGAAAAAAATCACACAAGTCTACTTCTTTAAGAAATTTTTTACCAAAATGGTATGAGATTGTTCTTACATTTTGAGAGTGATTAACTTTTATTTTGAAATGCTTGTGTAGTATAAATATGATATAAGACATTAACCCCTGTCTTTAAGTGGAACTGAACACAATGGACTCATTCAGATGAGTGCAGAGTCTAGTACAGCATTCAAGTGCCATTTGTTTATGTGTCTGCAGCAGTGTGGAGCTGTGTGCAGGCATCTTATGTTAGTCAGTGAAGATTTAGTGGCTGTAAGGACTCACACACACATCTGAATTTCACAGGCATGCAGGGATTGGTACACAGCCCTAATGCAGACAGTGTATTCAGGGCCATGCACCCATCTCTGCACAACTGTCAGACCCAGATGTGCAGGTGAGTCAGTACAGCCACTGCATCTATTAATTGACTAACATAGGCTGCCTGCATGCAGCCCCACACCGCTCCAGATGTATGAGTGAATGAGCCCAATATGTGAATATTTGTTGTGTTAAAGGGAACATCTAGAAATATTAATTGTGTCTAAACAATACCTTGCTTGGAATTTCACCTGAAAACTAGAAGTGCACTCCTGGTATGTGAGGCATTCAGGGTATCAGCAGTGTGAAATCTAAGGCACTGCTACCTCTTAATATTAATCTCAGGATAGTAAGGTCTGGTGATGTCAATGCTGTGCTGTTCACCGTTCTTGGAAAAGATTGCCCTTGTAACTTCCCTGCAGGCGTGGAGCTCGTGGTTGAGTCAAGGCCTCTAAAAATGCAATGTCATGTATAGGCAGGCAGAGTTTCTTAGGTGAATCATGGTGTATTTTTTATTTTCAAGTATCAAGAGTGCTTTCCCACTTATACCATTTCATAACAAAATCGTAACCAAATAGTCTACAGTGACTTTTTAATGTACAATGCTACCCTTAGAAGTCATGAAATCATTGACAGGTGATCGCTCATACATACATACTGTACATAGAGACATACAATATCCAGCCCTTTTTCTATAAACTATGTATATAAAGCAGTATTTTAGTATATGCTGTATACAAAACATGCAGTGGAAGGTAACATATTGTATTATCTAGCAGTCTAGATTGTGTTGACAGAGACAAAATGGTTGTATATTTTTGAACTCCAAGGAGTAAGAGATTGCTTTAATTGACTATTGTGACCCTTGCCCTTTTTGATATCTGCAGCTGCATTTTTACACAAATGTTTGGAATTGGGTAAACTGTAAAGTTTGCAAAATCCTATACGAGCCTAACATAAAAATCTATAACATGTACAAGTGCCTTAAAGTGAACCTGTGCTTTGACCATTTTGAGCAAAGCAACAGGTTCACTTTAAAGCTGCTACTCCTCGCAGATGGCTGCTGTTTATGCAGGCCTGCTGTTTATGCTTACCTTCTCTTTGCTTCCTTACCATTCCAATTTGTCTCTGATTGAGAGCGTAAAAAGCCATGTGTAAGTTCCAAGTCACTCTGGGTGGACCTTACAAAGGTCTTGACTGCACTGGTACCCATTGCTGCATTATTGTAGAAAGAGTCACATGTTCCCCATTTTTGCAAGCTCTAGAATGTACTATTGTGTTTCACATTGCTCCCGATGGCCAAGTTGAGTGGCAGGGGAGTAAGAAAAGGATAAGCTCTTGTTAAGTGAAATGTGCCTTGTATGGTCTAAGCAAAGGCTCACTGTAAAGGATAAGTTGACCTTTTAACAAAAAATAATAAATGTACATTTTTTTGCAGATAAAAAATGTGCATTTACTATTTTTTGTTTTGGACACCTGGAAAGCATTTCACCAGTGATCAGCAGATCACTGGTGCCCTGCAGGACTCCTGAAGAACTTTCAATGCATCTGTGTGCTCACACCTCATATGGGCAAGCAGATACAAACTGACAGGAAAAATCAATGACTTACTACAGTGTGCAACAGCATCATAGTAGTTCATTGAGAACTACAAGCAGACAGCCTCAAAGCCTGTCAGAACTTGTAGTTTTCCCATTCACAGAATACTGTGAATGAGTGGAACGGCCGGGCGGGTGGAGCCCTGCGTGGCCACATTTAAAAAAAACAAATTGTGATAGCTAGGTGGGGGAGAAGATCCGCCACTAGCTTTCATAAAGGGGTATAGGGGAAGAGGGGGAAGCGGGATCAGTCCTTTCATAACATGTTACATATTAACCACTTGCCTACCAGGCACTTATACCCCCTTCCTTACCAGGCCAATTTTCAGCTTTCAGCGCTGCCGCACTTTAATTGACAATTGCGCGGTCATGCAACATTGTACCCATATGATATTTTGATCATTTTTTTCTCACAAATAGAGCTTTCTTTTGGTGGTATTTAATCACCACTGGGCGCTTCACTTTTTGCGCTATAAATAAAAAAGTGCAAAAAATTTGAAAAAAAAAAAAAAAGTTTCTTTTGTTTCTATTATAAAATTTTTCAAACAGGCATTTTTTCTCCTTCACTGATGTGCGTTGATGAGGCAGCACTGATGGGCACTGATAGGCGGCACTGATGGGCACTGATAGGCGGCACTGATGGGCACTGATAGGCAGCACTAAAGGGCACTGATAGGCAGTACTAATGAGGTGGCACGGATAGGCGGCACTGATAGACAGCACTAATGAGGTGGCACGGATAGGCGGCACTAATATGCAGCACTGATAGGCGGCACTGATAGGTGACACTGATGATGGGTACTGATAGACGGCACTGACTGGCATCACTGCTGGGCACTGACTGGCGGCACTGACTGGCACAACCCCTGGGCACTGACTGGTGGCACTGACTGGCAGCACTGCTGGGCTGCACTGGTGGGTGGCACTGGTGGGCAGCACTGGTGGGTGGGCACAGGTGGGTGGCACAGGTGGGTGGCACTGGTGGGCACATGTAGGTGGCACTTCTGGGAACAGGTAGGTGGCACTGCAGAGTGGCACAGGTGGGTGCACTGCTGGGCACAGGTGGGTGCACTGCTGGGCACAGGTGGGTGATCTGCTGGGCACAGGTGGGCGGAGCTAGTGGGCGCACTGCTGGGCACAGGTGGGCGGAACTTGCGGGTGGCATTGCTGGGCACCGATCATCAGGGCACTGATCATCAGTGCCCTGATGATCGGTGCCGATCCCCGCTCTGACAACTGCCGGTTCTCGGCAGTACTTTCCTCACGATCTGACAGCGTGAGGAAAGTGCAGCCGAGAACCGGCACTTGCATTTCCCTCTGATCAGCGTGTCATTGGACTCCGCTGATCAGGTGGTAAAAGGCCGCTGTGATTGGCCTTTTACCACATCACGTGATCAGCTGTGTCCGTAGGATACAGCGATCACGGAGATCGCCGGGTGCGCGCCCCCTGGGGCGCGCAGGAGAGCGCGTTCTGGGGGGACGTCATATGACGTCCACCCAGAACTGGCCGGCCGCAGTGAAGCCGTCATTCGGCTATCTACGGTCGGCAGGTAGTTAAGAAAGGTGAGCTTATCCTTAAACCCTGAACTCCAGACAAAAATCTAAATACACAGCTGAAATACATGCTGTATATTGAATGTATCACTGTGGATGGACTGATGTCTTTATTCAACCCTACCAACTATATAATGAACTATCAGAAACTACCAGAAATAGGTCTCTGAATAGAAAAAACATATTTTATCTAAAGTAATGGAATTTCTATTGTTTATGGTGCTGTGAAAACTCAGTTCTGGTTTTGGGTCTACCGTTTGGCTACTATTCATATAGACCCCTCTGCCAGAAAGCATAGTCACTTCATGACCTTACAGTTTCCTGCAGCTAAGCAATACAGCATGGCAATGACCAGCCTGTAGCTTGCTGTTTAAACACTGGCAGAACAGCAGTACACTGATAAGCTGATCATTCTACTCTGTACAGCTGTTGGCAAACTTTGTGTTAGGGCTGGTTCACACTAGTTTGATTTCAGATGTAACTTAAGTCACACAGAATCACATGATAATGGAAATCACATTATTCTCTATGGTGCCAATTCACAGCAATGCAGCACAGCTCGGTACATTTTTGGAAAGGTCCGATGCTACTTTGGTGTCATTGAAGTGCAATTTTGGCCCCATAGACATCAATGGAAATGCACAAAAAATGCATGTACATGCATTTATGACACTTTTATTTGTGCTTTTGCCAGTTGTTAAAGCTCCTTCCTCTACCAAAAAAGTGTAGTAGTATAAAAAAAAATGCATTAAAAACATGTAAAAAATGCAACCATTTCACATTATGTAATCACTGAAAATTAGACCAAATCACAGTTGCACTAATGTGAACTGAGCCTTAGGCTGACAGCATTGTGTAAAGTAGTAAGGCCTGACTAGATTAGAGTTTAGAGCTCCAATGGGAAATCACAGGAAGTTATTATAAAAACAATTCAGATACTAGCTGTATTAACCGCTTTCCCGCCATCCTATAGCAGAAATATTGCTACAGGGCAGCAGGGGTGCACAAAATGATGTATATATATATGCGGCCTCGGCTGTTAGTTGGTACCCAGCCAGTGATCGTCAAGTATTACCAACAGGGGAGAGAACAGTATGTAAACAGTACAGTTCATTCCCCTATCAGCTCCAGCTTAACCACTTGCCTACCGGGCACTTATACCCCCTTCCTTACCAGGCCAATTTTCAGCTTTCAGCACTGTCGCACTCTGAATGACAATTGTGCAGTCATACAACATTATACCCATATGAAATTTTTTTTTTCTCACAAATAGAGCTTTCTTTTGGTGGTATTTACTTGCCACTGGGTGTTTTACCTTTTGTGCTATAAACAAAAAAAGAGCAAAACATTTGAAAAAACGTTTTTGTTTCTATTACAAAATTTTGCAAACAGGTAATTTTTCTCCTTCACTGATGTACGTTGATGAGGCGGCACTGATGAGCACTGATAGGCAGCACTAATGATTTGGCACGGATAGGCGGCACTGAAAGACGGCACTGATAGGTGGCACTGATAGGCGGCACTGATGATGGGTACTGATAGGTGGCACTGACTGGCGGCACTGACTGGCAACACTGCTGGGCACTGGCTGCTGGCACTGCCGGGTGGCACTGACTGGTGGCACTGCTGGGTGGCACTGCTGGGCACAGGTGGGCAGAACTGGAGGGTTGCACTGCTGGGCACCATTCATGTACCCTGATGATCGGTGCCGATCCCTGCTCTGACAACTACTGGTTCTTGGCAGCACTTTCCTCACGCTGTCGAGAACCGGCAATTGCATTTCCCGGTGATCAGCGTGTCATTGGACATGGCTGATCACGTGGTAAAAGGCCGCTGTGATTGGCCTTTTACCACATCATGTGATCAGCTGTGTCCGTAAGACACAGCGATCACGGAGATTGCCGGGTATGCGCCCCCCGGGGGCGCGCAGGAGAGCGCGTTCTGGGAGGATGTCATATGATGCCCTCCCAAAACTGGCCAGCCACAGTGCAGCCGTCATTCGGCTATCTGCGGTCGGCAACTAGTTAAACCAATTAATTTACATGTATTGGGATTTTATTTTTAGCAAAGACATGTAGCAGAATACATTTTACCCTAAATGTATGACAAAATTAGATTTTTTTTAAACATTTTTTATTGGACATGTTTAATAGCAAAAAGTTACAAATATAGTTTTTTTTTCTCAAAATTGTCAGTCTTTTTTTGTTTATAGTTCAAAAAATAAACACAGAGGCAATCAAATACCACTGAAAGAAAGCTCTATATGTGAGTAAAAAAGGACTTAAATTTAATTTGGGTGCAGCATTGTATGACCGTGCAATTGTCAGTTAAAGTAACACAGCGCCGTAACGCATGAAATAGCCTGGTCAGGAAGGGGGATAAATCCTCAGGAGGGCAAGTGGTTAAAGTACATGCCATTTATTAAGAGTTAAGTAGAGCTTTTTTTACCCCAGATATACTTACCAAGGTGGATGCAGCATCAGTCCACCATCGGCTCTAAGGGTGATGACGCAGAAATCACATGACCGCTGATCACTGACTGTTAGTCACTGATTTGTGCTCTGCCCCCAGCTGTGGAGGGGGAGGCAGCGGCTGGCTCAGGCTCTCAGCGGCTCGATGAGAAAGGTGCCGCTCCAGACTCTGGAGTAGATCCTGACTTTAAATTCAGAATCTTTCCCCAGCCTGGACTGGCTGAGTGACATCAGCCGACAGCAGACTTCAGTCCACTGTCAGCTGAAAACAGGTCATGGGAGTGCAGAACGAACTGCACTCCTGTGATCCACAGGAGAAGTACAACCAAAAGAGCTTTGCTGTACTTCTCCTTTTAAAGAAATACAAAGTTAAATGCCAGTTAATATTCTGTGCCTGGGGCTTAGCTTTAAAAACATTACAAGCAAGTGGTGTATCTTACAATTTAGAATGATTATATTTATCACTCATGGATACTGTGATATTCTGCAGAGGGTCTGTTAGCTCACGTTTCCTCACAGTGGTTCAAATGATAACCTGCACTTTGTCTCAACACAGATCCCAGAACATAATTTGTGAGCAAAGCTGCTAGTTTGCTGAGTAGCCTAAATCTTAGGTCAAATTCTGTCTTTGTGAAAAATATTTTAGTACATTTGTGTGACGGTTACAGACATGGTGTGGGACCTCAAAGCATTACTTTTTCTCCCAATTTTTTTTTTTAGTTCAATATCATATTGTAAGTCCAAACTGATTTTCAAACATAAAAACATAACTTTCCTTTTTAAAAGGAGTCCCTCCAATTTCTGGAATACCACAGCCCTGAAACGTAATCTTTTCAGTTCAAGTTCTGTTTAAGTTCCTTTACTTGAAAGTATCTTGTCCTGGTAGTTGGACGGCAAATGTCCTCTTTATTATGGAATAGAAAGGCGAAATATTTGCAATGGACAGTACAGTGAGGTTGTTGTCTGTAAAAGGACATAGGATATCATAGGTTGTAGCACACCTGGTTCTCTCCTACATTTCTGATGGGAATGTCCCAAAGTTAAAACATTATAGATACAGGTCTATAATCTCATAAGATCAGTCCTGAACATATATCTCCCCAAGAATTCCTGGGAAGCTTTATTACATGGACCAATACCTGGTCTAACCAAACATCTACAGAAGCTTGTATTATTTATATTTCTATCTGCCAGACAAACCATTACAAAAGCATGGAAGCGAACAGTAGTATGCTTTGGAGAAGTCAAACAAAGATTTTTGTAAACTATGATTCAGGAAAGTCTCATCTGTTTCCTAGGTTATAACTGGTATGTAAGATATTTTTCAAAGCTATAGTGATTACAATGATCTTTCACTTAACTCTTGGTTCTATCTTTCTAGGTGAGCTGTTACCTTCCTTTAACATTTATTTCATTCAAGCTATTGTAATCAGCATCTTTATAAAAGAAAAATGCAGGAAAATACAATACGCGTAGTAAAACCAATGTCTCAATAATCATTTAAATATGAAATAAGTAACTTTATCGGTACACATAACTTTGATTGAACTATAGCCAAATTCAGTTATTACACAGGCTTTCAGCAATTTTTTTTTTTTACTTGTAAATGCACCTTTATGTTAGCTTATGTGGTCACGCACATACAGATGTTTACAGATATATTAGAAGAGGAATGTTTACAGACAGAAAAAAAGACTCAACATAGATGCATTGTGAGAGGAGCTTTGCATGTACATTATTATTATTATACAGGATTTTATAGCGCCAACAGTTTGCTCAGTGCTTTACAATATACCGGGAGACAATACAGCAACAATACAGTTCAATACAAGAGGGTTAGGAGGGGCCTGCTCCTTGGAGCTTACAATCTAAGAGGGAATGTACATGCGTAAACGAGCAAAGATCTGCACATATGGATGTAAATGCATTCCAATGACCAGAATAAGTGAATATTCTGGGCAGTAGAATGCTTTTAGGCTCAAAGTCATAGGTGCATAAACATGCATGCATACACAAAATTAGAGGCTTTTTTTTCTGCCATGTCTAGCAGAAAAAATCCAACATATTTTAAGCATGACTTCATATTTCCTCGTCCATGAGGCCTTTAACTACAAAATTTAAATACACCTTCAAAAGCTCATCCACACATACGTAGCCAATGCAATACAGCACAGGTGTCAAACTGGCGGACCTCTAGCTGTTGTCAAACTACAAGTCCTATAAGGCATTACAAGATTGACAGTTACAAGCATGACTCCCAAAGGCAGAGGCATGATGGGACTTGTAGTTTTACAACAGCTGAAAAGCCGCCAGTTTGACACCCCTGCAATATAGTAACTCTTTGTAGTGAGGACTCTGATCTTTGACTTCATGCCATGGAACTGAAAATGATGCCATGTCACTGTTGACTATGGTGCAGTCCTAGCAAAGTAACAAAGTATTCAGCAAGGTTGGCTCTGCTTACAGATGTGTGTAATTTCAAGGAATTTTCACCTTTGCAAAATGCTTTACTAGCTAAATGATGTGCAAGCAATACCCTATAGATGAGAATATTACTGATCAGAAAACACTTTGCCTATGTGGAAGGGCCAAAATTCTTTATTAGCTCAACATACAGGCCACTGCATCCGACTCCCTGGTCTGTTTAAACACACTTTTAATTCATCTTGTATACTAACATATTTAAGGAGGGTGCAGGTCAGCATGTGTTTATAGAGGCAAATCCATTCTGATAATAAAATTAGGTTAATAAACTCTGTAAAGATATGGCATACTGTGACAAATACATTTGTTTTATTTTTTATTTATTTGTTGTAGGTACTTATATAGCACCATCAATTTACGCAGCACTTTACATATATTGTACATCCACATCAGTCACTAACTCTCTAGGAGCGTATTATCTAAGGTCCCTAACTCACATTCATACATACACATATTGAGGTCCATTCAAACAGGAGCCAATTGACATACCAGCATGTCTTTGGAGTGTGGGAGGAAACCAGAGTACCCGGAGGAAACCCGCGCAGGTACAGGGAGAACATGCAAATTCAGTGCAGGTAGTGTTGTGGTTGGGATTTGAATGATGACGCTAGTGCTGCCAGGTGGAAGTGCTAACCACTTAGCCAGTATGATGCCACTAAGATGCTACCTTGCACAGGAAATGCAGAGAATCAGAGTTTATCCACTAATTCATATATTTTGTATAAACTTACTGATATTTAAGTTTAAATAAATTAATTTCGCTTTTCTACTTACCAAAGTTGGTGCTTTATTACCAAGCATAGAAAATATTGAGTGAGCCTTTTATTTTTCCATTGTATTTATTTGCATTGGTGGAGTAAAGCAATAGAAAAAAAGGAGGGATGTGTTGCCAACTGCTAATAGCAATAGCAAGATGTAAGCTTTTGTTCCCTAGCCTACAATAGAAAAATGTCAATAGGACTCTGTCAGGGAATGCTTAAAATTTCAATTACTTTGGGTACAGTTGTGCCCAGAGTAATTAATGCACATGTAAGAATGCACCAGCCAGAATATTTGTGGCAGATAGATTATTATACTTTTGGAGTACAGATGGACAATAAAACTTCAGTAAAATGTATGTAATTGAACAGATAATAACCTGTTTGCTTTTTGTTTTTGTATGCACTATTTGGAAGAAAAATATGATTCATACACTTTTTGACTTGAAGAGAACTGTCTGCTGTTCTGCATGGTCATGCCGATTTTAGCCATTGCACCTAATTCAGTTCAGTTCATGAGCTAACCATGCTCTCTGTACACACCAAAATGAAGAACAGTGCACAATAACCAGATATTGCATAAATACATTTGTAATTTTAATTATGACTGGTTACTCTTCTTCAACCAGATATTTTTTAAAGCATTTTAATGTAGTGTGTCTTTATCATTATATGATTATGCCAATATTATGACATAAAAAAAAGTTTAATTTTACATTATTATTATTTCTTAAAGTGAATCCCTTGCAGACAGATTTGTAAAGAAGCATTTCTGCTTTTGATTTCTTATTATTAAAACCTGGAGGTCTCCTTGAGACATGTAGCACTGACAGAAAGATAGCAAGATATGAAAACACAGTGGGGAATAGCACAGAGATAAAATGCAACGTGGAAGACCTCAGATGCCAATAAAATCAGATTACAGAAAAGGCCATCATGTTGACATAGAGGAAAAAAGAGCTACTAAACTAAACCTAGAAGAAAACATATTGATATGAAAGGAAAACAATTTGCACTAGAAAAATACAGATTATACCTCAGTACAACCACAGGGCATTTGCAGTGAAATCTAAAATAGTGAATATTTACAGTTACTGTATATGCCATCTTGATACTTCTTGGCATA